CAAGAGGGACAGAGAACTGCTGGAGAGAGTCCAGCGAAGGGCAACCAAGATGATTGAGGGATTGGAGCATCTCCCTTACGAGGAAAGGCTGAGAGAGCTGGGACTCTTTAGCCTGGAGAAGAGAAGGCTGAGGGGAGACCTTATTATTACTTACAAATATCTAAAGGGTGGGTTGAAGGAGGATGGAGCTCTTCTCGGTGGTTCCCAGTGACAGGACGAGGGGCAATGGGCACAAGTTGGAACATAGGAAGTTCCGTTCCAACACACGGAAACACTTCTTTACAGTTCGGGTGACAGAGCACCGGCACAGGCTGCCCAGGGGGGGGGTGGAGTCCCCTTCTCTGGAGATTTTCAAGACCCGCCTGGATGCAGTCCTGAGTAATGTGCTCTGGGCAATCCTGCTTTAGCAGGGGAGTGGGACTAGATGATCTCTAGAGGTCCCTTCCAACTCCGAAAATTCTGTGATTCTGTGAAAAGAGGGATTTAAGAGACCTTCTGGTAAAACTGAATTAAACAAAGTTTAAGTTAGTTAACACAGTTAGTTAGGCAATGGAGTTACATCAGTTATCACAGCCTTATTGTGTACACTGTTCTGAGCAGTAAATACTGTAATGTGTTAAACTTACAAATAAAGGCTTTGGGATTTTTAATATATCTTGTAATTGTCGAACTTAAGGGTAGAGTTGGCCATTGCAGAACTTTTTGGCTGGATACAGAATTTTGTTGGAAACGGATGCAGTCAGCTTCTCAAGGACAAATTTTTAAGTTCGTGTCTAGTGCTTTGACCTTTTCCTGTTTAACCCTTTCAAAAGTGCTAATTCTTGGAGCCACCTTCGCTAAAATGGGCTTTGAAAACCCATATTGCATCTCTGGCTACTGCTTTTATAAATGCCTTGTTTTGGTCAGATACCTGTAGAGATCAAATTTATATGTAGTAATAAGCTATAAAGAAAGCTTATGTCTCAATAATACAGGAATACCTTAACATAAAGAATTGTGTTCTTTAGTCTTTGGAAATACAATAAATTAATCTGAATAACTTTTGCAACCAGCAGACTTAAAAATGAGTCCTTGCCTGAATTCAGTCACAACAGTTCTGGTGGACCTACAAGGTCTCGGTAGCTTCTTTCCAGAATGATTTATATTAAAAGACTACTAAATTTTATTTTAAGATTTAACATGATTTGATGTGCTGGCTCCAGGTACTTTACTGGAAATTTAAATAACATAAGGAAAGTTGAATGCGTATTTTACCTTTTCTTTTTTTCACTTTCTGTCAATGTGTCTGGCCTCTCTGATTTTGGGGTTTGCTGTATACTTGGCCCTGGATCTTTGGCAGATTTTTCACTGGTCTTAGTACTCCGATAAGTCAACCTACTTTTATCTTATGCCACCATGTGTTCCTCCCTTCCCAAATGAACTGTCAGTGACTTACCTGTCCTTGGAGGATTTTTCAGTCGCTGTGGTGTTAACGTGCCTCTGCACTGCGGAGTGTGAGGGCGACCAGCCAACCTAAGAGCTGCGCTGAACCTTCAGCCTGCGCGTAGAAGCAGCCCGTTGCCTCGGCTACGATGTTTGGGATAAACTTGAGGACTCTCTGTGCAAATCAGGGCAGTGTTCGCATAAAAGCATCAAGTCAGCTGGTCAACAGCGATGAAACGCTTATCTTCATTGCAAAGGCTACCTCCTTGTTGTTGCTGGGTTTTAATTGTTACTAGGTTGTGTCATCAAACAACTTTCACGCTGTGTAAACTGGTGCTCTGCCTTGCCCCTGTCTTCAAAAAACGTGGTTCCCCGCCTTACTGCTGATTTTACAAAGAGCTTTCTTTCCCTGCCTCCGTCCTGTTATTTTTCTTTTCTTTTTCTCTCCTTACTTTTAATGATGCCCTTCAGTCTCAGTTGTGCCCTCCAACTTCTTATTTCTCAGCTTTTAAGAATCCGTTAGCAGTTTACCACCTTTGTCTGACTTGCATAGAGCTATCAATAAAAGCAGCTAGTGAATACGTTTTTCTTTCTGTTCTTTAGATGGTGATCTTTTGTAGAGAAAGCTTCAGCTCTTTGATCCCACTGCCTTCAGCGTCCTTTAGGTACGCATTTTCATACTAAAGAACTGCCTGAACCCAGTTAGGCTAAAATTACACCACAGAAATCTCCAATGCTCTTCTAATCCTTTCTTTCCAGCAGTTTAGTTATGTTCATGTGTGTCCTATTTCAAAGTACAGCGGGCTCACGCCAAACTTAAAAGGATTTTCAGCAGAGGGGAGATCCCCACAAAGCTACAAGAGATCGGTGTAGTTCATAGTGTGGTTTTCTCATCCTTTTTCTTTCACATTCCCTAAAAAAAAAATTAATACAGGGGTGTAACGCATTCCCATATAATTAACTTAGTTGACAGGAGCCTCAGTTTTCTTAGTTATCATCAGTTGTAAATTCCTCCACAGCTAAAATTACTGGATCCAAGTATCGAAGTAGGGAAGATAAAAAAACTCCCGGGATCTGAGTGACAAAGTGACTGTTGAGGAAATGGAAAACTGTATTACAAAAGTTGGGAATGCAAAGCGTTGTTCCACTCCCTGGTGTGAAATAACGTAACACTAGGTGACCTCAGTGTTTATTTTAAAGTGTTTCTCAGCAGGCTGATAATGCCACAGATACATACATTGCAATGAAAAGAGTAGTAGCTAATGCAAAACTGCAAGGACTGAAAGATACATCACAGAGGGCTGCGAAATAAAGGCTTACATAAAGTGTTAATATGTTAATATTTCCGTTGTAAAGCTAGTTACAAAGAGTTGCATAAGCGACATGAAGACAGTGCTTTGAAATTGCATATATTGCTGTGCCGCATTTGTTTCTAGACATGTCTAACAGGACAGAATACCATCATACGCAATTTTGCTTTTTAAAGCTGTGCAATAATATGGCCCATTTTCAAACTCATTTTTAGGCAGAATGCTCGTGTGTTTTGTTTTCATTGCTGACTTTGCAGCATGTTTCTTTAGTTTGAGAAAACCCATTCAAAATCTCCTTTAATACCATAAATTTTACAGGCTATGTTCAAAATATGAAGCATTTTTAAAAGTGCAATTAAAATCAGGGCTTTTGTTTATTAAAAATTCATAAAGATTAAAAAGCAGAAGGCTAGATTCTCAACAGAGTATAAATTATAGCTGTGTTTATTTCAATTAAGCTACAGTGATTTATCAAATTGAGGATCTGGCCTTTCCAGTAAAACATTAAGATAAATCTTGCTGTTAGGAATTGAATTATTTGTTCAAAGACAGCAGCTCCCTTAAGAGGATATTAATAATACTGAAGTTTACCTACTCATTTTTAATAACATAAGTTCATAGAACAGAATGAAAAGCCATTCTGCAAAAGCAGACAATAATAAAATCTAAAGCTTCTAAATTGAGGTATATTTATATATAATTTGATTCTGCCTGTAAGTCTGTATTTGAAGGTGTGGTATGAAATGCAATCAAAGTAAACTTACATTACTACCGCTTTGCTTTGCTAGAGTTCAGTACCACATTGTCTCCAAGCAGGTAAGAGCAGCCATACGAGCTATATTTTTAACTGCTTGCATTAATTAAATAAATTTAAAATTAAAAAAAAAAAAGAAACTTGGAAGAATTACATCCTGATATGGTAAGCCTTTTTAGTCAGTTTCTAAACATCCCAAATTTGAAACGTTTTTCAGTGGTTTACTTCCGTACCTATGATTATGAATACTAGTACTCCTGCTTGTAAAACCTGTGAAACATTCTTAAACCCAACAAGGTTAAACTTTCTGTTCTGGTGAATCAGTCTTTTTCTTAAATTAGCATTGCCACGCTCTCTTCAGGTTGGCAAATGCTAAAAGTGAAATTTTGTGTGAGGGTAAAAAAAAAGCAACCCTGGGTTGTGGTTAGTTTATTTTCAAAAATAAAATTTGGAAGAAATATTCTTTATCACAGTTCCTTTACGGGCATAACCTTTAATTCTGAATTTGGAGTGATGCTTTCATAAGTGATTTTTGCAAGTGATTTTGGACTCCCTATTCTCTCAACTGCCAATGTACCTCACTCCCACTCAAATGAAACATATTCAAGCAGGAATCAAAATAGGCTGGAGAATTTGGGGGTTTACCTTTAAATTTTACCTTTGCATCTTCTGTAGGTGGTTTGGAACAAGGGTAAGATATAAACGATCAAACTTGAGAAGAAAACATCAAGAGGGTAGAGCATATTGCCTAACGTACCTTGTGTGATAAAGGGATGCTTTACTGTGAGGGCTGTGTCAGCAGTGGTATGTTCCTTGAAGGTTCGCTCACAGAAACTGCTGCTTGAGGGTCGAGTACCAATGGGACGCCTTCACAGGGAAGCAGCAGCAGCTGCTTATTAAAGGATTTTTTCGCAGGATCAAAGCCTCGTTTGTCCCCTAAGCAGGCATGTCCCTCTTTCAGTTTTACTTTGCCATAGAGGATTCTAGTAGAAGAAGATGCAACATAATTGTTGGAATTCAAAATTTAAGACCTCCCATGGAAAAAAAAAAAAAAAAAGTGAAGAATATACACAATATGTCTGAAGGCAAAAGAGCTCTACAAAAGTGTTTCGACTGCTTCACCAGTAAGGCTAACACTAATGAACCTCCAACCTTGTCCCTAGGTGTAACAGAGTACTTTGGAATTGACATCTTTGGAGAACTATTACTTTGTACAATAAACAATTACGGAAATGTACAAAGTAAGGAATAATTATGTACAGCATTGATAAAACAAATACCACATTGGCTTAACTGAATATAATAGCAGATATTACCTTTCTTTAGCATTATGTCTTAAAACTAATAATGGCTTGTCCTGCTTAGATCCTTGCTCACACAATTGCACAGTTCCCTTTCTTTGGATTATATCTTTAGGCCACAGACTGCTCCCATTCCTCATCCGATGAAAAGATGCCGTTCCAGACTGCGAGAGACTCAGCTCCCCCCCGGATCCTTGCTGTCGTGAGGGTGTTTCAGACTGCCAGAAATACAGCCTCATCTGAATCCTTGCCACTGTCCTCACTAGGCAAGCAGCCACCCCCACTCGGGGACCTGCAGCTTAAGTCCTCCACCCCAGACTCCTGGTCGCTGTTAGCTGAGAGGTCGGGATCGGAGCTTTTCAGGTTGTCCTGTGTCAAAATCAGGGCTGAATCTTCTTCGTCCCCTTGCGAAGGGCTCCGGGATGGGAATGATTTCAGATCGCTGCTGTACTCCTGGGGAGTGTTAGCTAAGCTGTTGTTGGAAGTGGAAAGCCCGAACTGTTTGCTTCGGTCTTGTTGCGTAGTCTTGACTTTATTATCATTCAGTTGGGATTTCTGAAGATTTGCCAGTCTCTGAAATAAAGGAAACAGTGTATGTTATATGGACACATTTAGGGCCCAGCAATTCTCTGATGTGTCTTTGCCTTTTAAAAAAATAAAGAAAGGAAGTTCAAAGCCCAATGCAATTGGCACCCTTTAAAACTGCTTATTTGCGTTTTTGGAGTATGAGGGAGGCACAATTTATCACAAACCAATGCTGAATTACAGCATCCCTATGAGTTACAATGCCTTTGGAGTTACAGAAGGATATAAATTTTTTTTCAGGAGTAGAACTTGTGCACCAACACAGGTGAAATTTTATCCCTGAAGAAAAAAAAAAGTGCACTGTTGTGTCTCAAGTGCAAAACATTCATCATCGTTTATGTGAGAACAAAGATGACAGCTGAACATCCTCACACTGGAAAAGGATGTAGCATGCAGGGGACTCCGCAGCATGTGGAGTTGGGTTTCATTTACCATCAGTTAAGTCTGGGGCATTGAGATCAAGTGTTTATTACCTCTCTTAAGACCTCCAGCTCTTCTTCCAGCTGCTGAGTTTCTTCCTTCACTGCCATCAGGTAATCAGTAACCGACTGCCGAGGATGCAGCCCCTTTTCGAAGCGGTTGTACATACCACTCCAGAACCTGGAATTGACAGGAAGGTCAGCAATTTTCTCATTTGGTGAGGTGGCCTCAGAAGACTTAAGTACACATTTATTTTTTTCCAGACACATGTTGTCCTAAATGATCCATCCATGGATTATTCATCATTAGAGTGCACACACATAAGTTCATTGAATGTTTGGTAAGATTTATGGTTCATTTGCGGTGGCTCTGTCCTGAAGTTGCAACTCTGTGGACATAAACATCTTGAACCAATTCTGATATACCATAGAAAGAAAGGTGAAGGTGCCTTTGACTTAGATCATGTGGCTGAGGGTGATTCACCGAACACAAACTTTCTTGTTCTATGCTATGGGCTTTAGAGCAATGGCAGCTATAAAACAGCTAAGGTTAAAGATATTTTTTCATAATCCTAGTTCGTAACCATTGTTTAACTTCCCATGAAGTCAATTTTGAAATCCTGTATGCTTGGTTTTCTCTGGGACTCGGGGCGGAGGTGTGAGGTGCAGCTAGTTAGCAGGTTTTTTCCCCTGTAAGGAGTTAAAAATCAGAAGTAAAAAGTAGCATAAAAAGTAGCATGATGTCCTGTTCTCTTAAAATGTCAACTGACATTTTAAACTGTCCTATGGAAATGGCATGAAGCATCTGTGTTGGCAAGTTCTCTTTCTGTTCGCTGGAACGGGTGGCGAGACACTGTCCCAGGTTGCCCAGAGAAGCTGTGGCTGCCCCATCCCTGGAGGTGTTCAAGGCCAGGCTGGATGGGGCTTGGAGCAACCTGGGCTGGTGGGAGGTGTCCCTGCCCAGGGCAGGGGGGTTTAAGATCCTTTCCAACCCAAACCATTCTATGGGTCTATGAATTATTTGACAAACCTTTAGTTAAACAGCTGAGTTGATTTTTCATTTTCAGGAGGAAAGGACTCAAACTATAAGTCCATAGCTTACTCTAGCATTCCTCCTCTCTTCTGTCTTCCCAGCCATATGAGGCCGCAGCCAGACTCTGGGTCTGTAACGAGTTCACCAGACAGGTTAGATAAGCGAGAGACCTGCCCTCAGCTGCAGCTGTCCAGCCAAGTAGCTGATGGATATTTTCGGAGCATGTGCATGCTCCGTCGTGGTTTATTAGTCCTACCACAATAGTATACTATTTAAGTCACATTCCTCTTAAGATTATCATCTAATAGCTCATGCTTGGATATCTTTACACACCCAAGTAATTCCATTAAAATCAACAGGACTACTCAATCCCAGGAAGGAACTGCAGTATCAGTACTTCTTTGATAAATCCTACTATCTGAAAAAATACGATTAATGACTATTTTTAAATTGTTTTAAAGTGGATGTGACCTGGAATGGTAGGTGTGAAAGATGTGAAAGAATTCAAGTTCTCCTTAAGCTTGTTAGGAGTAATGGCACAATTAATTACTCAAGTCAGGATGTCAATAGTAGCATTTCCAAAATTATATTTTGTTACATTAAAATATCAAGTAAAACTTACTGCATATACTTTGAGTTATAACGACAACATGGGGAAAATCTGCTTTTTGTTTACTAAACATTTGTTTTAGCAGTGACACCATGTGATTTCTTGAAATGTCCCCCCTTTTTTTTTTTGACACCAACTGATCCAAATAAACATCACAAAATCTTGGAATGGAAGAAGTTGAAGCAACTTTAGATTTAGAAACCACAGACAAGAACAGAATGGAAAGAGGCATTTCTCAGGAAGAAGCAGGTAGCCATGAAATTAGGACACACAACTATCAATATAGCTTTAATCTTAAGCTTCTTTTCAGACTAATACTCTTGTGGAATGGTGCAGAGGTGTTGGCTGACAGTGAGCACACAGGGAACAAACACATTCAGTCTGAGACTGAATTTACTCTCTGTGAGCTACCTTATGGAACGAGAAATACTTAAATACAAAGGCACTCTCTTCTGCACTAACACATCCTACAAATCTCCGTAGCCAGTGATACTACCTACTTGTACAAGAAGTTGCATGGAGCCATCCGTGGGCGCAGGGTCCCCTGGGTTTGACTGTGGTCTGGTCTGTACAAAGGATTCAAGTAATCAGCACGATTTTTCCACAAGTGAGCCCACAATGAATATGTTCGTTCTTGGATTCTGAAAAAAAAAAAAAAAAAAAAAAGATATTAAATAAAAATATATTAAATTCTCTACTACAATTCAGGTACAGCTAAAGCTTAGATGCGACGTTCTAGTGCTCTGTACTGCTTGTTTACAATCATCTTTATACTTCCTTAACAGAATTAGACTTCAGTTATAAATATAGAAGAACAGAGACCCATATTCCTTTGTTTGGTCACTAAAGGCAAAATCCAATCCATTTCCCATAGAGCCAGGGCAGCTGGAGAGAGAAGGTGCGGAGGCGGGTTCCTTTGCAGGATGGAGATCACTTCCATAACATCAGCTTTCAGACCCATCTCTACACCAAAGGGACCCCTCATGTAAAAGCACTCTGACACCATCCAGCTGCAATGTCTCATGCAGTTAGGGCTTGGGATATGATGACCCGTGAAGGTTTTGGTTTTAAATGGACTGTGGCACTGAGGCTGCTCTGCATTTGAGCAGTGGAAGGGACCAAATGGCAGCAGGAGGCGGTAACTCCCGCATTCCTCTGGTCACTACTGCTGGCAGGGTCTGGACGCGTGAGAAAAGTGGGGGATACCATGATGTAGTTGAGGAGCCAGGGCCCCAGGAAGCAGATGCCAATATCGGCGCTGCCAGGACTGATGTTATTGTCTCTGTTTGGGCCTGAGGCAGATTAATTCATAATTGCTTTGGGACCAGACAGCAGCAGGATAGTTTGCCGAGTCAGTCCTGGGGAGGGCTACCAGAGAAAAGGGCTGTTCATAGAATCATACGAGAAAGTATCTGAGAGATCAGGACAAAAGTGTCCTGACATGAGATCCAAAGACAGGCTGAAACACAGAAGAGCAGTGACTTGAACTGAGAACTTAACTAGAGTTAATTTTGTCTTGTATTAGAGCCAGAGCGACAGCTTGCCTTGTGTGGTGGTGGTGGTGCTGCAGCAAAGGCAGGGCGGCAGGGCCGGAGGGCTAATGCTCTTGTCAGTCCTCACTAATCCCTGTCACGCACACCGAGGATTACACTCCCAGGCAGAGCCACAGTGCAGAGGATCAACTTTTTTCGGTATTAATCTGCACTGCCAGAAGATGTCAGCCAAGAATTCTACGCTGCGCCCCACGCCGTGCACAAGCACGTACACGTAGACGGCCAAATGCCCGACTCCTCAAGCCGACACCCCCTCACAGACCCCGCACGCTGGGGTGTGGTACGCTGCTGTATATGGAAATATGTTCCTAAAGAAAAGACATTCATACTTCAGCTCCCGTCTCTCCTTCTGGCTGTTACACAGGAAATTCCCAAACTGGCAGGAATAGATATGGTGCTGTATGTGGATGAGGAATCTCTCATTGAATTCAAAGGCACAAGGAAACTGTTCCATTAATTGCCAAACACACTCGATGAACTGGTCAATAACAGGGGATATCTCCTTCGGATCTCCATCCAAGTTGCCATACCTGAAACAAGACAAGATCCATTCAATCATAACCTGAAATCCTCTAGGGAAACTGAATTAACACTAATGAAAACAAACCCCTCACTTCAAGCGTGTGAGTTACATCATAGGCATTCATTTCTAAAATCTCAACTACTAGGGTATTTTTTTACTTACAAAAATGATGCAAGATTCACGCCGTAGAGTGAAAGCAGAATTTATCAAATACAAACAAAAACCCCCCCAACTTTTACATATGTCTTGTTGCCTTACAGCTACTAACACCTGGCTGCTGCATAGCCATGTTTTAACGCTATTAATATAAAGTTACACTACAGTAATGTAAGTCATCATAAGGACGATTGCAATGACTTAATGGCAAAAACATAATCTTAGACAGTCACTTAGTGGCAGAAAACCAGAAAACTGAGCAGGAGAGGAACAGAATAACCTCGGCAGAAAACAGTTTGAAGCTGCCCTCTCTCGGTGAAATTTTTAGAAAGTGGGAAATGTTTACATGCTACTGTGACTCTCAAGGGAACATCAAACTTTCTGTCTATAAAAATGTCTCTTGGAACCACTTGCAATGAAGAAAAGGAGCCTGAAAATATAAAACATGTAGAAGTAACAAATACTTTATAAGTCTACATAATAGGAAGAAGCATTTTCAATCAATTATTCTGCTTGCCTAGTGTGGAGGTGTGTGGATATATATGTACATATATACATGCCAACAAAGTGGAATTCCATAAACATCTAAAATTGAAACTTCTAATTCTACTATTATTACACATCAAAGAAAATACAGCAATATTGTACTGCAAACCAAAGCTATCAGTGGTGATTACATTTCATAATATCTTGCACCACCGATAATAACAGACATCTGACAGTATCGTATTAAA